ATGTTTGGTAGAACAAATGATTTCCCACTGTTATTGATGATGTGTTGATTAGGTTCTGAAACACAACACAGTCAACAAATTGCGGCCATGTGAATTTCAAGTCGCTGCGTTTCATTATGGATTTCACTTTGAACTCGTGCCGCACGCACACACACCGTCGCATATAGGACGCCCAGCTGAGTTTTTTAGATTCTGTTGCACATGTCCAAAAATAAAAATAACACAAAAGGGTGGTAAATTGGGTCATGTTTGCTCAAAATGTATGTGTATTTTTTGTTGCAAATTGCAAGAATCATGCAAAGCAGCGTGTGTCGAATAATGTGCCCAGCCTAAGACGAATACGTGCGTATGTCTGTGTGTGTATCTCATATTTCAAATTACCCAGCAAGCTAATGACTAGACAGCGCTGCACGTTTCCATGTTGCAAATGCTGCTGTTACGCAGAATGTAAACGTCAATTTATTAGAAGTTTTCTGCAGCTGCCGGCCGCTGTCAAATTCAAGTACAAAATTGTCAATGGGTTTATACCTACCCCCTTTCACCACCAGGGAGCCTTAATTGTTGCGCAAGTTGTCCTGTTCAAGCCATTACTGACAAATTTGTAATAAAGTTAGATGAAGTTTTGCATGGTTTGAAATAATTAAAACACACACACTCATAATGCTGATGGCACTCGAATATTTCATTTAATTAGTGGCATAACAAATTGATTTGATGTTTACGTACAAAATGAGGAATGAGCATCATTAAACACATCTTGTTTAGTGTTATTGAATTATTCAATTTCTTAATCGTAAATACTAATGATGTGTAATATTTAAATTTGCTAAGTATTAAGCAATTAAGTTCAGGAAAAGATTTATTTCATAAATAAGTAAAATAATAAATTAAAAAATCTCATGCATTTCTGTATTTTAAAGAATATTTTGCTATTTCGAAATATAGATCTTAAAAAAATGTAAGCCTTGAAGGTATACCTAAAAATATATATTATTTAATTATATTTAATTCAGTGAATATAAAATGATACACCAAAAGCGAACAATTAAATGAATAAGGAAGCAAAAGGGCAAAAAAGCAAAAACGATTTTTGGATTTCCTATAATTTAACAAAGTTAATCACATAATTTGTTGAAAAATACACACTGCATGCTTTGCTAAATGATTGTTGTCGAGTCAACGTTCCGTTTAACAAATCACAATGTGCTCATAATTTTACGCCAGAATTCCTGAATAAATTGTTGAGTTCGAGTAGGGGAATTGCTTCGGCCACGCCCACACTTACAGGTCGGGCCGTCAGTCAGTTAGTCAATCAGTCAGTTTGGCTAATGGTCAGACCAATTGTCGCAAATTAGTAACTCTCTTACACATACACGCACTCAACGTGCACACACAAATGCACACAGGTGAATAAGAGCAGGCCTGGAACTGAGGTAAATGGCCGAGTATTTTGCTGCAACACTTTAGGCCAATCACATGCACAGCGAACTAACGGTAAACACCAGATAGTGGGGGGAGCAATGAAAATATACAGCTACAAAGTTTACTGCTACAATTGGCAAATTGAAAATTGTGCGCTGGTGGCGGTGGCGGTGGCGGTGGTGCCGGTGCTGGTTGTTGGAGCAACCACAGCCACAGCTCCAGTCTCAGTCTCAGTCCCAATCCCAGCCACAGTCAGACCCAGACCGCATGAGAAGCTATGGTTGGGAGGGGAGGAGACCTTGGCTTCGCCAAGAGCCAAGTACGCGTTCATGATGCGTTGGCTGCCAGATCAAGCTCCGGAGTCAAGTTGATGATGATGCAGACGAAGATGCATTTGCAGCAGACGCAAGCAGTCGCAACATACGACGTTTCAATTTCAAAAACCATTTGGGCACAGCTAGACATTTTAATGAAGCGCTGCCGGCTCTAGCTCTAGACGCATAACGGTGAGGTACCAGGCCAGACCAGACCTGGCCAAGACCCGACCAGACCTGGACCAGGCCAAGCCAGGCTGGACGTCCACGCACTGCAATAACAAATACAGCAAGAACAACAACAACAACAAAAACAACGGTAGCAGCAGCACCTCGTCACAGTCATAGCTTGATAAGGTCGCAGTCAGTCAGTCAGTTGGTATGCAAATCGAATGACTTAGGCAACGAACTGGCTGGCTGCAACCACTACCGCGAAAACAACAACAACTGAAAGGTAAGGCGTACATTTCATTGCCAGTCTTGAGCACAGTTACTTCTTGAGTGCAGCGGCAATTGAGATATTGGCTTATGTCGTAATTATGTGCATTCGTAATCATATTTTAAATATACATATGCTGTCAAATAACAAAATATGTGTGTTTAACTTTGTTTATAATGAAAAAATATAATATTTTAAGTTATTAATAATTAGAATAGATGCGATTTTTTGCTCATTCCTCTAATGGAAACAGATCCCCAACAACTGAGTGTCCTGCTGTCCGACTGTCTGTTTGTATCAATGAAATCTTCGCGACGCTAATAATATATACATTGAATTGCTCATGAAACCTTTCTATGTAATTCCAAAAATTGTATATTGCTGATAATCTTCCTTAATACATGTTCGACTGCAACGTCCTTGCATGCCAGCTAAATTTACTTAAGTTTTTTAGTTTTATTTTTTGGGATTTTTCCGTTGTCACTTTTAACTTTCGCTGTGTAGCTTTTGCTCTCGTTTTTATAAGACACGCACACCCACAACTTCGTGTGTTCTGCTTCGTGTGCTTCGCAACTTGACCCGGTTCGAACTACGGCCATGCCTCATATATTGTAATTAAAACGAAATGTAAGCTCCACTCCCCCCACACCCTATCATCGCACTTGATTGCCATAATAAAGCTGAGGAGTTGAGCCGGTGTGGTTTAGGCGTTAATTTTGGGTTCTACTTGCCGCATGCCGCTAGCAAATTAAAAGTTTTCTAAGTGCACTTTCTCCCTGCTGATGAAAAGTGAGTTGCGTCTTTTTGTTGTTCTTCTTGTTATTTTTGTGTTGAGGGCGTTCACTTAATTGCTTATTTAATGCCAAAATCGATTGCTGCTTACCTTTTGCTTGGCGTCTGCTTGATGGCTCTTAAACTTCACCCACACAAAGAGGGAGAAAGAGAGAGAATGGCAAATTAGTTTATGAAAATACTTGAAACGCTTCAGAGTCTCGCCCTTAGCCATACAAATTGTTGCAGTTCTAAACTGTTTTAGGCCAAAGTTAATTTATTGGCTGGCATGCAAATCGACAATTGACTGCAATTGACGCAGCGTGGCCAAAAGTGAAAACGCAGCCCACTTTTGCTTTCCTTCAAGACTTTCAATTGGTGACTTAATTTCATTGGCAACAAAAGTGCTGCAATAAAGCTAATGAAATCGAACGGCAACGAACAGCTTATTGTTAACGCCAATGTCCAGCAAAATGACTCGCGGGTAACAACAATAACAACAACAACAGCAGTATGAACAGCAAACTTTAGAGATCGCCAACAAAAGCTTGCTCAAGAAATTATCAAGTGCAGTGCGCTTTGAGTTGGCACTTTTACTTTCATTGTTGTAGCCCGATTTATTTCATTGTTGCCATTGGGCTTATTGTGCTGTTGCAAACGCTAACGAACATTTTATGGGCGCCAACAACAACAACAACAACAACGACTAGAAACAGCTTTGACGCAGCCGTAACAAAATTTTCACCAAACAGTCACATTTTACACATTTTGGGCGATTTTCCTTTTAGCAGCAGCTAATGACTAAAACGCTTTTGGCACTACAACAACCACAGAGAAAAGCAGCAGCGGCAACAACAACAGAGGCTTAAAATTACAAAACAATTTGTCTTAAACGCTTAAGCTTCGATTTGTATGGGAAAATGTTGTTGCATCTTTGTGGCATGTGATGAGAAAATAACACCAATATCAACACCAACAAACTACATAAACAACAATATCAACATTCGGTGTTGCTTTCTGTCTTATATAAGCAGATTAAACATACACCGAATTGCTAGCTACAGCAACAGCAACAGCTTTAGCAAAGCCAAGACAAAGCAAATCAAATGCACTCTGGCCACAGTCATTTAATTAAATACAAACACAACAGCAACAAGTTTGAATCGTCTCTGCTTCACTTGAATATATCCTGTATACTGATAAATATTTAATAATATGAATAGTTATTGATTTTTAAAGTCTGAAACACATGACTGCCCTTATTGACACTGTTGATGGTCCTAACCAAAAATAATAAATATATATATATATATATATGGGGTCGGTGCTGTCTCCTTCTGCCTATTTTCTTAAGTTGTGCTAATCATCTAATAAAAATTAATATTGATTCATGTATAGGACTTATGAAAATCTTTGGAACCAATTTAAACATATTATGCTACTATGCATACATATATATCTACTGGCTATAAAAATATATGAGCAAAGATTATTATAGGGGTTTCGGGGTACATAAATAAAAGGCGTGGCCTTCCATTGATTTATTTCTAATGTAACAACACATTATTGATTTTACAAAAGTTCTCTAATGGTTATGTGTGAGATCTAAACTCTGCTTTACATTTTGCTTACATCTCTCCCAGTCTCCACTGTAAATGACTTTATACACGCTCTACACACAACATGTACAACCATCTTACAAATAAAGTCGAGTTTCCCATTGAGAACAAAGCATAAATTGCAGGCTTGGGTCTTGTTCAGTCTAGCGTTGCAAAGACTTGAGATGTGGGCGTTACTGCGGTTGTGACGCGGAGGGTGTACTGTAAGTAAGACATGGTACAGGGGACAGCATGCAAACTTCAAATTATCGTTGTTGATCTAAGTTTTGGAGCTTGAGTTAGCCGCTACTCGTTTTAAGTGTAACTTCAACAAACACAAACAAACATAAAAAAAAACAAACAAACAAACACCAGCATAAACAATAGCTAGGCAAACGTATCAATTAGTAGGCAACACAATTCAGCAGGCCTGGCAACATTTTTAGTTTACGGCAAATAAAACTAGAATTGAAATTTTGTTGAGCTGTTCAGCGGCTTCAAAATGACCAAGGCATTCTTTTGTAGTGAGGAGATGGAGCTGTGCCAGCTTCTTCTACATGTGGACAACGCCTTCAATTGCCTTGTAGAGTTGGCCCACAATGGCGGGCTGCAGTTTAATAATGTATACGATGAGGATCGCATTCTGAATGGCCTCTATACGAGGCGTGTCCAATTGTGCTATGAACTGTTGCGCATTGTCGAATATCTGGAGGAACAGCTGATCAGCTTGTCGATTAAAGAGGTATACTATAACGATGTCGATACCGAGAATCGTCCACGAGAGTCCTATATACCACAATACGAGACGCATCTGCGTCGCATACATAAGGAGGTCATTTCCGTTATGGAGCACTACCAAACCCTGCAGAAGCGTCAAAACTATATGAAGGAGAAACGTTTCGCATTGGAGAAGGCTCAAAAGATTCTCTCCTCGGATGGGACCCATGGCGCTCAGTTGCTATACTCCGAGAGCATTATTGTCAAGCTGCTGAAGGATCAGTCTGATAAAAACCCAGACAGCTCACAACTCAACTACATACTGGGCAGCATCAACGTGGAGATGTTTCCAGCCTTTGAGCTAATGATATACAGGCTATTTGGTCGCAATCTTTTGATACGTCACGCCGAGATGCCAATGAAAATGATGGAGTATGTGGGTCAACAGTATAATTTGGTGCACAAATTCGTCATACTTCTAATGACCATCTCGCAGAGCTATCGTCCCAAGTTGTTGAAATGCTGTCAGGCATTTCATGTGACAATTTTCGAGTGCCCAGAGAGGCCCAGCCAGCGCATGGAGATGATCAAACAGCTGGGTCAGGACATTCACGATTTAGATTTGGTGCTAAATGAGACGCGAGCTGTACGCAAACGCATCCTGCTCTTCGCAGCCACCGATCTGTATATAATGCGCATCAATTTGCACAAATCATTGAAGATCTATGATCTGCTCAATCGCCTGAATCAGTTGGGTGGGCAGGACCATCAGAAATACTTGCAGGCAGAATGCTTTGTGCCCAAGACACAGATTGATCAGGTGCGTGACGCACTCAATCTTGCTACTGAGAAGGATACCGCACCGCCCATTCTGCTGAAGCGCAGTCGAAAGTTGCGACACATGCCACCCACATACTTTCGGTTGAATAAGTTCACGCAGGGATTTCAGAATCTCATCGATTCATACGGCATGGCTGACTATAGGGAACTGAATCCGGCACCGTATACAATCATAACATTCCCATTTTTATTTGCCATCATGTTCGGTGATTTTGGACATGGCCTGATTCTCACATTTTTTGCTTGCGTCCTCATCTTCCAGGAGAAACGAATCGAGAATATGAATCGCTCGAATGTGAGTGAGAATGAGATACTCAATATATTATATGCCGGTAGATATATCATACTCCTAATGGGAATATTTTCTATTTATATTGGCATTATCTACAATGATGTCGTATCAGTGGCAGTGAATATGTTTGGATCCAGTTGGTCGGCCGTCTACAATGAGACGACTATTCTCACATTGACCTCCAGCCTAGGTTTGAACCCAAATGATCCGAAATTTTATTCCGGTCATCCTTACCCACTTGGCGTGGATCCTATATGGAAAATCAGTGGCGAAGATTCCATAACTACCTTCAACTCACTCAAAATGAAACTGGCTATCATATTGGGTATTATACATATGATGTTCGGCCTAGTGCTGTCAGCCATCAATTGCATACATCTGGGTCACACAGCGGATTTGTTTCTGGTGGTGATTCCACAATTCATCTTCATGATCTGCCTGTTCTGTTATCTTGTCTTTCTCATATTTTATAAATGGATATTTTATGGCGGCTTGAAGGAGTCACCGCAAAACTCTGCCTGTGCTCCGTCCGTGTTGATTATCTTCATCGACATGATGCTGATGAAGAATTCCGAAATAACTATAAATGAATGTAATGTCGAGATGTTTCCATTCGAGCGTACTCTCGAATATATTCTGGTCATGGTAGCCTTTGCTGCTGTGCCCATTCTTTTGGCTGGAAAGCCGATATATTTGACGCGTCGTCAGAAGCAACTAACCAAGGAGCGCGAGCAACGGGATACAGACGATTTGAAGAAGAGCGGACGAGACACTATACTGGAGATGCGATCCTCGCTGCGCTACTCTGTCGAATTCCAGGACGTTGGGCAAGATAGATCGGGCTCGGGACCCAAGCTACAAACAGTCGAAGATGCTGTAGAGTTCGATATGACCGAGATCTGGATACATTCAGGTATCCACACAATTGAGAGCGTTTTGGGATCTGTATCACACACCGCTTCATATTTGCGTCTTTGGGCATTGTCGCTGGCCCACAGCCAGCTGTCCGATGTCTTATGGAATATGATCCTAGAGAAGGGTCTCGTAAATAATTTACCTATCTATATGGGAGCGCCGGTACTGATGGTAGCCTTCTTTATTTGGGCCATACTCACTGTTGCTATTCTGGTAATGATGGAGGGTCTGTCGGCTTTTTTGCATACTCTGCGTCTGCACTGGGTTGAGTTTCAATCAAAGTTTTTCAACGGCGCTGGAGAACCCTTTCGACCTTTATATTTTCCACCATCCACCATACGCGGCTAGCTTGGAGGTGGAATTGTTGAAAATTGATTATATGTTATATAATATATTTGTTAATAATAAACTGACTAAGGACGATTTATTTCTTCTCATAATTGTGAATTATAAAAAGAATATAATACTAGCACGAGCTGTATTTTAGTGTAATTCTATTGATATTTAATACAAGATAATAATAATTTATGAAACCTGGCAATCCTGGCTAAAGATCAACATTAATAACAATTACAATTTGATGAAGAAAATGGGATATGCCTATAAGTACTATCAATTAAGAGCCAAGTAATCCTGACTAATGCCAATAATTAGCAGCAAGTAGCAACTAACAACCAGCAGCAAAAAGTTGCACGTTGCAGCCCACGCAAATGACCGGCATCTGCATTTTGTGGACATTCCAATGCAATTAACATTGGCAGTTGCAGCGGAGGCCATAAACCAAAGCAAACTTTAAACAATTTACATTTATTTGGTTTATGCCAAGCCAAGCGGCCATTGCCAGCTGCAAATGCTGCACGTTGTACGTTGCACGCGGCACATTGTTGGGTGCCAATGCGGGCGAAAAAGTCGTCGACCCTTTTGAAGCAGTTGTTATTGTTGCTTTCGTTGTTAATGTGGCTGCTGCTGCTGCTGCTGTTCTTGTCGTAGTTGTTTAGCTTGTTTTCTATACTACAACACACACAGCTGAGTATTTGCTGGCGTGACTGTTCAACACTGTTGCCGCGCCGCCATTAACACCCACGCCAAAAGCGACAACGTTACCGGGGCGAGTCTTGGCATAAATTATGTACCACAAGCGATGACGCATGCAGGCCTAAGTAGACTTGTTGCATGCATAAATAACTTTCGTTAGCCACAGCGCACATAACAAAAAAAATGGTCTTATTAGATCTTTTGCGCTCACTAAACAAAAGAGACAAAGCTCAAGCTCAATGCATTTTCATGATCAGAGCAGGTTTCAAATGGTACGCAATGGCTAAAAAAAAACAGGCTTTTGCTTTGACTGTGTCTATAGCTATGGCTGTTGCTTTTAACCATAGCACGCGCCATTGTCTAGTTCAGCTGTACGCAAGAAGTTCGTTGCCCAAGTCTTTCGAATATATTTGGTAAGTTGTGTTCTAATGCGAAACGCTAGTTGCCCATAGTTGTGGCTGCTGCTGTGTTTGTCTCTGTGCTTTGTGCCCACAATGGGCAGCTGCTTAGCGCGTTTATGGCCAGCAATTGTCAAGTCCCTCGGGTAGGCAGCCTGCAACTGCAACAAAAGCAAGGTCAACGTTGTTATCTTCGCTGCTGTTGTTTTTGTTGTCGCTGCTGCTGTTGCTATTTTAGCTGGCAACATGTAGTCGCATGGGGAAAATCAATTTCAAGCTAAAACGTCGCATTGCTTGGCTTCCTCTTCCTCTCTCGCACACTCTTTGCGCAGCTTTACGTCACGTCACGTTGGGTCATCAATTTTTTGAGTGCACTGCGACGGGCCTTAAAGGGCGCTCTGCGGCTACTGCTGTTGCTGCTGTCATTCTTGCCGAGTCTCATATGCTCTGATCCCAAGGGCAGAAGAGCATATTGAGTCTTGAAACTGGAAATAAATGCTCGTATAGATAGAAAACGCACAAACTGGAACAGAGAAATCAATAAAATCCCATTTGTATAACTCCTACAGCTTAATTCGATGAAATCAATATGTTGTAAAATAATAACAATAACTCATTGGATACAAGAATTTCTTCAATTCAACAGCTTTAAAGTAACTAAGCTCATTATCAAGAAATCTCAATTCGATGTATTTTAAGGTATTACCCCACCAAGATCAGAGTATTATGCAGTCGGTTAAGAACGACTGCAACTTGGTTGTTTTTTTATTTTCGTTTTGTAGTTTTTGCTATTGTCTGTCTGGGCTGGCAAGCAGGCTAGCTCTGCTTTTGGGGTTTACATGCCGAGCATAACAAAAAAGGTGTTAAATTCAACTCATAGCCGGCAGTGGGGCAACAGCGGGGAAGAAGAGAGCAGGAGGTAAGGGGTAGGGACAACGGGCAACGGTCGCAACGGTCGCAACAGCCACTCGAAAATCACAAGCAATGTCAATGCACGCTGAAGAATTTCTGCCACAGCAGAAGGACATTTCAGCTACGACGGCGAGTGCGACTACGACTGTCCACCGGCCTGAAGCACCTCAAGTGCTTACCTCACTTCACAAAAAAAAAAAAAAATATATATATATATATATATATGTGTATATATACTAAATACATATTTTCTTTGGACTGGCTGTGTCTCAGGCAAAGTATTTAAATGAAGTCAAGAGTTCGACGGCAACAAAAACATCAGTAGAAGCGGCTACCTGATGAAAACATCAACAAAGCAAATGCAAAGCAACAAATCAGCAACAACAACAACCACCATAACAAAAACATAACTGTAAACAGCGAGTTATTAAGTAAATTAATTAACTTGCCTCACACTTTTGCACATTTTAAGCCAACAACAAGTTGGCTAGTGGAAAAATGTCGCAAATTGTGCATTGTTTAACTTGTTGTTGCTGCTGCTCGCTGCTTGCTTTTGCTATGTTAGCTAATTTTAATTAATTTTAATGGCATCAGAGTTTGGCTGTTATTTGTTTAGCAGATTCTTAACGCGGCGGAAGTCAACAATTGGCCCCATTAGAGCCAAGCTGGCCAATTTCTGGACTAACCCAGCAGCGACTTTCACTCAACAAAACGCTTTAATTAAAATTGCAAAAAAAATTCATTTAACTATGTCGGAATTTGCTTGCTAATTTAACCAGTTTCTGTTAAGTTTTGTTTTTATTTTAAGCAGCTGCTGCCACAGCCCGAAAAAGTGAAATTTATCTAGCTGAGAACCCATTTTTGGCATTTAGCAGTTTATTAGCAAAGTTGTAGAATATAATAAACAATGGCCAAATACAGCTCAGCAAAAGAGAAATGGGAAAGAAACCGATTTAATAAATGCAAATTACAGGGAATATCTCTAAAATAAATCAACCTCGGGAATATACTATTTCAAAATATTTTCATGCCAAAAAGATTTTTAATGTGATCGACTTAAAGTGCCTCATCAAATTAATGAGCACATTAAAAGCACATTAACATTCCGCAGCCTAATCGAAACTTAATCTAGTTTTAAGACGTTCAGCAAATAGGTTTTCCTCTTGGAAATCGATTAAGTTTTAACCAACTTATTGGAGTTAACAAATGATCTATTGTATATGTATTTAACTTTATAAGTTAATCAAAAACTTAACAATTATATTGCGGAATATTGAATATGGAAATTACTTTGTAATGTGTGATATATGTTTATGTTAATTTATAGCTTGGCACTGATTTAAGTATTCTCGCTTGTATCATTCTTACATATTTCACATGATCTTGGCAAGTTCGCTGTTTCAGTCTTTTGTTTTGCCACCGCATGCATAATGAGAAGGCGAACCAGATATGATACTTAAATACGAACGAAACTGTATAATGTGACCGTATATATGTCAATTACAGCACGATTTTTGGCAAATTTGCTTGTCTCTGACACATTTTCTACTGGCAGCGAATTGTGGGTCAGATCTGATACCGATTTATGTTGTCGGCGACAATAAATTTGTCAGCTTTTTGAGCACCGTTAAATAAACGCAATGCATGATTTGTGCTTTATAATGAGGGCAAGCAAAGACGCCGATGACGATGACGATGAACGTTGAGCGATGAAGACATCGACAAAGGCATAAAGCGCTCACGTTGGACTTATAATATATTCATTATATGTGTGTTTGCTGTGCGGGATGTTTACTTGAAGCTGTCAAATAACAGTTTACGTATAATTTGTATGTAAGAGCCCACATAGTTCGTTAAGTCATAAAAATGCAATTTTCTATCAATCGCATTACTAAAGTTGGCTAAGGTGGCGTTTAACCAAACTTCACATCAATTTATTGGCATGGCAAACTGACGGTCTAAAAGTCACTTTACGATCATTTAACAACAAACACAAATTGAAATAAAATGACAATGCTCTCGGCAAAAATAACGCATTTTGGCAAAAAGGTTGGAAAAGATTTGAATAAGACCTCATTACAGAGACTGATGAGCATATTCCTGCAAGCCAGTAAGAAAATGTCCACATTAATTGTTCGTATTATTTAAGTTTGCCATCGATATATTTTAAACTCCAAGTCTCGACATTAAGCAAATCTAATTTTGTGTGTGGATCAAGCTGAACGAGACATTGAAAAAACAATCCTGAGACAGTAGCGAGAAATGAACCAAGTGTATTGAGCGGTATATAAAAGTATCTGTATCTGCATATATGTATATAGCTGTACTTATGTATTTGTATTCGTACCCTGCACAGCATCACAAGCCCCAACAAGCTGTGTGTGCGAGTGTGTGTGCGCTCTAGTTGCTCGAACGAATCAAAACATCACGAAATCTCGTTAAAAACCACAGCACAAAGCAAATACAAATAAAAATACACAAATATGTACCGTTAGCTTTGTTTTAACGCTGCCCGCCGCTGTTGGTACTTTTTACGCGCATACGCGAAATAGAAGAAACATACAAAAAGTATATAAGCATAAAAATAAAAATAAAAGGCAAACAAAAGTGGCAAACGGCATTGACCAGCCAAGTGGGCAAGTTGCCAAGCAGCAGCGGCTTTTGGCCCGGTCAATTGTCAGTAATTTGATGTTGTAGTAACTGCTATTCATAATTTGCTACATTTAATTTGTGTGGGGAGAGCGAGCAGCTGACAAACTGATTTAATCACTTGTCAGAATGCAGCGCAGGTGGAACGACAACAACAGCTACCAACAACCGCATTATGACCTTCGCCTGAGACAACGCAAGCCCAAAATGCAGCTCAAGAGTTAAAACTTCACAGCTCTCGGCTGGCAAACACTTGAGCACGAAGTTCGTTGGCTGTCTGCCATTTGAATGACGTGCAACGACAGCAGCAACAGCAACAGCAACAATAGCGTGCAATCACAACAACAACAATTGGTGTCAAATGCTACCGTAGCACGCCACATCAAATTGCTGCTGCCAGAATTTATTGGCGCAACTTGAGAAATTAGCCAAAATATGAAAGC